CATAGACATGGACTGTAAGATTTTCCCTTACATGAGATATGTAAAGTAGTCAAATGTATAGAAACAGAAAGTAGAATGGTGGTTGCCAGGGGATGGGGAAGGCGGAAACGGGCAGCTGCTGCTTAACCGGCATAGAGTTTCAGTTTTGCATGATGAGAAAGTTCTGGATATCCACTGCACATCAATATAAATATCAGCACTCCTCAACTGTACACTTAAAAATGGTAAAGATGATACATTTTATGTTACGTGTTTCTTTTTACCACAATTAAAAAAAATAAAGTAGCAGAATACATATCTGTATATATGTGTGTATAGAGACATATTTTATGTATAACGTATTTGTATATATGTATGTGGATGTATATACATAACACACGCATATATCCTTAAAAGAGTCAATGATTTAAAAATTTCAAAGCTCTAGAAAATAATTACAAAACATTGACACCTGTGGGGCCAATGACAGCCATCAAATGTTTGGGGAGCTGACCTCTTGGCCCAAACCAGATCACTTTCACAATGCTCAACTGTCCCTGTTCTAGTTTCTGAATCATCCCCACCTGCTGCAGAGTCAGGAGTCCGGGCCATGTGAATTTCATGCAGCTATCCTCTCTCATAAAAATGAGAAATCTTCCCTTTCCCTCCCTAAAGGCAGAGATCCCCCAAGACAATAAAGTTTATTTCACAAATAACTGTGTTGCTATTTTCAATGATCAACCTACCTCATCTTTTTTTTTTTTGCAGCTTCAATTTCCCTGTTTTCAAGTGATTTCCTTAAAGAGAGCAGAGGCTACCTTTCCGACCTAGGACTTCAGGAAAGTAAGCGGGTAGCTGTTGTAGGAAGAACCAGAGTTTGCTTTCAGAGTGATCTTGATCTCAGCAGGCAGGTAAAAAATTCTGACACACTTTTCCTTCTTAACCAAAATTATTCAGACTATTTTTTTTTAGCGTGTTAGGAGATGAATCCCGATTTCCTGAGTAATAACAAACGACCATCTTCTGCATAAACTACATTCTTCCAGTTTCTAAACATTTGGGTTTACATGTGATTTATCTGTCTGCAAAGAGATTTCTTTTCTTTCTTTCTTTCATTTTTTTGCCGCGCCACTTGCGGGACCTTAATTCCCCCACCAGGGATTGAACCCCGGGCCCTGGCAGTGACAACACTGAGTCCTAACCACTGGACCACCAGGGAATTCCCTGCAAAGAGATCTCTTATTCTCCAGTCATCCTACGTGGTTTCTGCTTTGGTTTAGCCTCACCCACCACAACCAAAGGCTGGATTTCTTATTCATGGTGTTTATTCCTCCCCCTACCTCCAAGTAAGCACTTAGCTGACCGATTACAGAATCACAAGATTGGTTATAATTCCGTTTCTCCATCTGACTTTGAACTTAAGTGCTCCAATTATTTTGCCTGATCCTAATAAGTCAGTAGCGTGTTAATGCTTGCCTTGATATTTCTGAAATATACAGGGTGTGATTAGCATAGGACTGCATCATTAGAAAGCAAAGTTGAAAGCGGGTGAGCAAAATCACCACTCGCATTTAAGCAAAGCTTCCTGTTCAGTGAACTTAACAATGTTACAATGATCCCAGAGACACTATATGCTGTGACTAAACGTATATCGTATTCAGAAAAAGCCTCAGATGCTCCAGAACCTTCTGTCTTTGGCTACTACTGGATGAGAAAAGATCCTAGGAGGACAGGCTTGTTCCAGCACACAAAGTCCAGAAGTCTGTTTAAGCCAGATACAGCTGAAGACATAAAGAATCCTTGAACCATAACAGGGTAGGAGGGGAAAAAAGGAAGGAAGGAAGGAAGGAAGGAAGGAAGGAGAGAAGGAAAGAAGGAAGGAGGGAAGGAGGGAAGGAAAGAAGGAAGGGAGAGAGGGAAACCTTTAGTCAATTCTGCTGGGTGGGATTGACATCTCCAGGCCATAAAGTGAGAAAGCTTTAGGGTAAGCCTGCTGGAAGAAAGAAAAACAAACAAAAAAACCCCATGCACACACACATATCAAATGAGATGCTAAAAAACCACATTAGCATCAGTGGTGTTATTTGAGTCGATTAAAAAAATTTAACCCTTTTATATCTGTGTGCAACCAGGAATAGTGTAAACTTTTGGGAACTAGCAGATAGAGAGAAAAAAAAAGAAAATGCTTTAAACTGGGAATGATTTGCAGTCAAATCAATTGATAAATGAAAGAAAAAAAGACGGTACAACGGAAATTGATGCCAAAGATTTATAAGGTTGACTAAGTAAACAAAAATGGAACGGATCACCATGGAAATGCATGAATATTGAAATAGGCAAGATCTGAATACACTAATGATATGCCTCACTTAGATTGACAGGTGTTGATAACAACTGTGACAATCCACACCAACATCCACACTTCTAACATGTTTATTCCTAGAAAACACGGGCTGGATTTAAAGGTTCCTTTTCTTTTAGAAAATAAATTTTCTATTCTTCAAGGGACTAACTCAATTCTCATCTACTTGAAAAACAAAAAAGGTTTTATCATTTGCTTTTTGGATATGAGGAGCTGCAGTTAGCAGAAGTCATTCTCTTGGGCTCTACTAGTCTTTGTTCCAATAAACCTCTCACAAAACTGAATTCTCAGTCTTGTTTATCTCCCGCATTGAGTACTTGAAGTATGACCACCACTCATTAGAAGCATAATTAAAAAGACACAACCTAGATTCCTCACTTCCTTCACATACACATGAAAACCAGTAACCCTTAATCTATTTGTTACCATGGCTACCATAGGATATTTTATTTCAGTACAACTCTAGGTATTTCGTTTGGATTGTTGCTTGCAAATGAAAGTTGGAGACCTATAAATTTCTGTTAACTGTGCTAGAAATGGAGAGACTGAACAGAAGAAAATGTTTTTCTTAATCACGGACAAATACGGTTTATAAGATGTTTGTGCAGAAAAGTTATTAAAATTGGTTAAATACATCAGCCCATAAACCAATTTAAATGCCATTAAATTCATATAGAGTTTAAGGGCACATATGCTAGTAATTCCCTGATTTATAGCAGGATGATAAACCAAGTGCACTCAGAACAATGTACCGGACGGAGACTGTATTCACCAGTGGCACACAGCTCCATACTAGTATAAATGCCTAGAATATGTGACTACTCAAATACATGCATGCCAACCAGCCTTTAAAGTATTCACCTGTGAATTATCCGACGTTTTGGCCAAGAGTCGGGATGAACAATCGATAAAGTTGTTCATCATGCCCTCCCCTCCAAAAAGTGAAAAAAGTAGCTCTGCACTCTCCATTGTAATTTTTAAAAACATCACGAATGAGGTGGGCTAATTAAATCTGCTGTCATTCATCCTAAACCGAAATAATTCCTTAAATCTGCCCTCCCAGGGCTGAGTTGGAGATAAGACCGCATGGCAAGAAAAGGTACTCTGTAGTGAGTAGACAGATGACTTTAAAGCGACTGAAATTAGGGTAAATACAGCTGTAACCAGGACAGATCTGTCACTGCAAGAGGAGTCCGAATCCCAGCATAGCTCGGCTAGTGAGAGGCTGGAGCCTGCAGCAGTGGAGCCTGACTTTCCCTGAGCTGACGAAGTGGAAGTTTCGCGGGCAGCAGCGGATCGGCGTCCTCAGCGGTCCCGTCCCTCCAGCGCCGAGGTCTCGTCTAATGCTGCATAAATACCTGCGCCCACGATTCGCCCCGGGCGCGCCGCGGCGCAAGCACCGTAGAGAGAGAAGAGAGCGTTTGCAGAGCGGCAGGGATGGCAAAGGCGGCGGCTCCCCAGGGACCCGCGGGGGGACCCACCAACTGACCGTGTCTACCATTGGGTTCCAGAGCTCAGGAACGACAACTGGCTTCTCAGCTACCGGACCCAGGCATCCGAGACTCGCGCTTTGGCCCCATCACCGTTGGCTGCAGGCAGCCAGCGCGTCTCCGCCTTCCCCAGCCAACGCAGACCCGACCTGCCCGGGAGCTGCCTCGGACCTATCCGGGCTCTCGACTCTGCTCTCCCGACCCCGGGCGAGCTCTCCCCTCCCTCGGGGCCCAGAGCCCGCACTGCCCAGCGTCCGCAACCGCGCCGCGACCGCATATAACCCTCGCGCTCTCGGCTCGCTCCAGGCCACAGAGACCCGGACGTGAGCCCTCTGCCACCTGGCACCTCCCGCGGCAGTCTGGGCGCGCGTCCACACTCCCACATTACACATCTCCCCGTCCACACTATCCCGCACATAAACAACCCCTCCCCACCCAACACACATCCTAGCCGCTTCACCAGCCCCGTACGCTCTCCTTTCCGCGCCCCCCCCAAAACACGCTGGCACCCACAAGGCGTTAAGGGAAGGCGGGTCACAACAAGGTCTGTATGGGCTTCCTCCCTGTGGTTTTCTCGCTCTTCTACCTCGAAAGTTACTTGGGATTGAGTGAAGAGACCAGGTCCCCAAATGCGGGTCGGAGGACGGGAGGGATCAGAAACTCCAACCTGGCTTCCCGCTGCACAGAGGCGCGCACCTCCCCAAAGGCCAGACGCGTGGCCGCCCCCAGGGTCCAGCCCTCCGGTGCCTCTTCCTGGCCCCCAGCCCGGCTCGGGCCCTGGGCCGCTCAGGGGAGCTGGCTTGGAGAGGGACGCATGCTGTCGGGCCCAGCCGAAGAGCTGCCTCGGCTGGGGGGGGTCACACTCGCTTCCAGCGCCCCCTACCACAGCGACATTGGCCTCGGGCAGCCCCTGTGCATACACACCCGGGGGCAGGAAGTTTCCCCCCCCGCCGCCTTTTTTCCCCCCTGGAGCAGCGCAGGCGCAAGGGCTCCTGCAGCCTTGCGAGTCCAGACGCGGGAGGCTCCTGCCGCCGCCGCCGCCGCCGCGGGAGCCGAGCCCAGCGTTCTGGGTACTCGGGCCCCGCTCCCGAGCCCGGCCCGGCCCCACGCAGCCTCCAGGACCCTGGGTCCCTGGCGCCGCATCCTTGGCGCCCTAGCCTGGCTCTTACCTCCGGCCGCGCGGCTCTGGCCCCGGTCCGACGCGCAGAGAGCCTGGGGTCGCGAGTGGGAGCAGGAGGGCTGATGGATAGGGGACGGCGTCTGCGGGTAGCTGTAGCTGGGGCCGCTCGGGTCCTGGCCGGGAGAAACGGATCCAGGTCCACCTCCTCGCGTTCCTGCTCTCCGCCTTCTCCCCCTTTTCCTTCTCCTCCTCCTCCGCCGCCGCTTCCCGGCAGCCCAGGAAAGATGCCCGAGAGAGGGAAGTCAGTCCTTCTGCCTGTCAGCCTGTGCGGCTACGCGCGGCGCGGCGCGGCTCTCACCGAGGCGGCGGCGGCGGCGGCGGCTCCGGCAGCATCGCCCCCCCACTCTGCCCGCAGCCGCGGCGGCCGCGGGGCTAGGGTTGGCTCCGGGCTCGGGGCTCGGGCTTCGGGCGGGGGCTGCACTCAGGCGCGGCGGCCGCCGGGACTGCGGGCGGGCCCTGCGGAGCCGGGGCCGGGGCTGGAGCTGCAGCTAGATCCGCGGCGGCGGGGACGGCGGCTGCGCGGGGGCTGGCGCGGCCGCGGCGCAGGGACCATGCTCCCTTCTGGCTCGCTCCGCTCCGGGTACCGTCTGCTTTAGCTGCGAGGGAGGCGGGCTGCGGCGTGCAGCCAGGGGCGGGCGGAGCCAATCACGGGAGCCCGAGTGGGCGGGGGCGGAGGGTGGGGGAGGCGGGGCGCCCCCGGCCGGGCGCCCGGCGTTGCTCCCGGGGCTCGAGGGATACCTAGCAGTCGCGCGCCGGGCCCGGGAGGAGTGCTCGCGGGTGTGTCCGTCCGTCCGTACGCCGTCCCCGCCCCCCTGCGGTGGCTCCCGGCTCGGCCCGCTCGGCGGCCGCGCCCGGCAGATGCACGGCGCGTGGCCCCGGCTCCTGGGCCCCGGCCTCCCGGCCCCGCCCGCCCAGGGTTGGCTGACGGGACCGAGGCGAGCTCGCCGTCCTCTCTCAACACCTGAGGAAACTGGCGGAAAAGTTTGAGAACGAAAATTCCAATCGTCTTTCAGCTTCCGCCCTCCCTATGACACTCCAGCCACGGTAAGGAGCAGGAATTGTCCAAATCTCTGAAGAACCACGGCTAGCCCTGTAAATCCTGGCCACCGACCCTCGACTCTCCTCGGTGTACACGGACTTTCCTGTCTACACTGACCCTCTTGAATCCACAGGACCTCTCTGTTTATAGACAGCCCTTACTCAGGCCACCCCAGCCTTCCATGTCTACACTGACTCCCACCCTGTCTACACTGACTTTCTTAGTTCCACCACTTCCCCGTCTCCACACGCTGTCTACACAGACCCTAACTTCAACCTTGATAGGAAAGGTTTGGCTGGAAGCCCGTGGCAGTCCCAGTGCGGGCTTTCCATTGTGCCAGAACATTTCATTTCAGCACCAGTCTTCCCTTCTTTGGTAGATCTAGATCTGGCTTTTATTCCCTGCCCTCTCCCTCCTCCCCTACCTCCCCCTCATTTGGTTTTGAATTTCAGAGGAAATATATCTTTTTCCCCCATCCCCCATCTCTGGGCTTCAACAACCCTCCCCCCCCCCCCCCCCCCCCCACCCCCCCCCCCCCCCCCGCCTCCCCGGCGAAGCCGCTGAGGCCCGAGACCTGGGTAGAAATTGGGGAGGTGGGTGTGGAAAGGTAGGGAGCTGCTTGCTATTTGGCTTGAACTGGGCGGAGCCAGCCCGGGGCAGGCTCTGCCAGGCCCCGCCCCCCATCTGCCAGGGCATGGGGAGGGTTCGTTGGTAAATCTCTTTCAGCTTACTCCTGTGATATCTGAATCCAGGCCTCTTCTCTCCTTGGCTGTAAACTCGGTGCAAGGATTGTGCCTTCTTCAGTATCCTGTGGGAAGCAGAGTGCAGTGTGTGGTGGCTGATAAATAATAAATACTAATCATCTACTGAGAGTAGCAGGAGGACCATCAGTGAAAGGGAATGAGAGCACCAGGGAAAGGACCCGTTGGTATTACAGTAACTGCATTTTCTGAAAAAAGAAAAAAAATCGAATGAAGTTTTGGTGTGTGAAGCCTGGCGGTGGGGAGAGGACAGAGTAAAGCACTGCAGCGAGGAATCCCCCCTTGATGGTGGGGTCAGCCAGGAGAAGTGGTGTGTCTTTAAGCAAGGGTGATCGAGGGTGCCTTGAAGGGGGAACAAGTGGGAGTGGGGGCACAAAAGCTCCTCCAACAACCTGAAGAGGAACGCGAGATGTGGTTTGAATGCCACGGTCTGAACGTGGTATATGAAAAGTGATTGAAGGGTAATGTAGATGGGAGAAAGGAGAAAGAAGGATTACTTGGGGTTTTAAAAAAGGACGCAGGTAACACTTCAAGCACTGAATGCAAAGAGAACAAAGGCACAGGTGAGTCAATGTTCATTCATGTTGTAGGAAGCTGTCCTCTGAAATGATCTGCATGGGTCCACCAGCTGTGAGATTGTGGGATCCACCAGGCTACATCCTGGAGCAGTGGCACATAGGACAGGTGTAGACATTATGGAAATGTGGCTAAGGTTTGCAGGGTTAAGGGATAGGTTAAAATCTGGCAATCTGAGGCACTCATAATGTCTGACGTGATTTTGAATGATCCTCAAATGAAAGCAGGAAATACGCACTCCAGGAATCCTTCCTCAGCTGCATCTCTAGGTGAAGGTGTAAGGATTCTCCCAGTTTCCCTGCTGGCATTATCAGAGAAGAGAGACTGTGCTGAATCTGCATCCAGCCGGGTGATGCCAGGGGTGCTGGTTCTAGAGTGCTGCAACGCCTTCAGGGTTGGATCTTGATAACGGCTCACGCAGGGGTGGTGCCGGCCTGTCAGGAAAATGAGAAAAGCTGTGTGAAGTAAAATCACAGTGGGCTAGTCTACCCCCTCCTCACCTTACCCTTCTTTCATCCCCAGAGCCTGAATGCAAATAAGGATTTCCAGAGTCTGAAGCTGAGATCTTCCTCTGCCGTGGGGCTCCGCCTAGCTAGGAACTGTTGGGTTTGGACTTAGGAAGAGTCGGCTCTGGTCTAGGCATGAACTCCATTTCACCTGAAGTGCTGTTGTTCATGTCATCTGCCCCTGTTCCCCCAGGCTCTTGGTGACATACAGTGGATCTGCTCTGTGTTGTGTAAGAGATCTGTGTAGACCTTGCCCGTAGCTGGGATCTGTCCTGGGTTTTTCACTGCCCTGCTTTGTGGTATTTGGGATAAGCCCCATGGTTAGCATGGATCTCTCTCTGTGGTAAATGCGGTTTGTTCGGTGTTACACGTGAGAGCTTCTTCAGCCCTGGTCAAAGATTTCTCCATGAAGCACGGGATCAAGCTCTGTAGAGTGAGCTTCAAAACCCAGCCCTCCCTGTCCTGACGAAGATGCCCCAAGCTGGGCTCTGAGATCAGGACTAATGTGTCTGCTCCAAGCAGATGGGTTGTGAAGGAGTGGACTTGTGAGGCCCAGGGAGGTAGACTGGAATGCTGCAGAACATGCATTTCCCACTCAGAGCATAGACCATTATTTGCGCAGTCCATCAGACAAGGACTTTGTTCTGGAAAGGCTACCGCCGTCACCTGGAGAGGCACCAGAGGAAGCCACAGCATTACTGTCTGGGAGTGCCCACTGTGGCTGAGATGGACTTCCCTCCCTGTTTGTATTTATAAATAGTAATCACAACAAAGCGATCATTTACTCAGTGGCTGCAATGTGCCAACCATTGTACCAGGTATTCTACCCACAATACCTGGTCAATGGTCATAGCAACCTGTGGAGTTAGTGTTAGCAGCCCCAAGCGCTGAGTCATAGAGAGGGTAGGTGACCTCCTGAAATCACACAGCCAGTAAATGGCAGAGCTGGTATTTGAGTCTGGTCGCTTGGTTCCAAAGCCTTTGTTCTTTTCACCATCCTCAACACACAAATGCAGTTTCTTTTGTCATTAACCCAGTGCTTTTCCCTTGGAGAAGACACAGTGGACGCTGATTTTGCCTCTATCAGCAGCCAGTCCTGGAGTCAGGACTAGGAATCAGTCTTAGGACACAGAGGGCTGATGTAGAAGAGGGAAAAGCATCTCTTTGTTTACTGAATGCATAGGTCACTTGGAAGAGTGGACGCCTCGTCAGAAACCCTCAGGTCTGAGAGGACATCTGTTTCCAGGAGCGAAGTGGGTATAAATAGAGCAGGAGCCAGCCTCTCTGCTGGTCTGGTTTTGTGTTTGCTGTTTTGTTTTTCTAACATTCTGCTCCACCAAAACCACCCCCATTTGGCATCAAAAGCATGAATAAATCCTACATAAGTCACTGTCCCTCCAGTGGCTAATCAATCCATAAAAATCTATTTAGCACCTACTGTGTGTCCTGCATTTCAACCCCATGGTGTTGATTAAAGCAGGAAGTAAGAAGTCACAGCTGCTGTATTTTCACTGTGGCCACCCTGCTCTGTGGATGCGTGGCAAAGGCACATGCTAATCATGCAATCAGCCATTTGCAGAGGACCTCCCGCACGCTCAGCCTTGTGCTGGGTGCTCTCAGGAGTATAGGGAAGGTACAAGGTGCGCTTCTCACTCTGCTCATTTTTACCCTGTGCCCCAAAAGGGGCTGAGGCATCCAAATACAATACAGGATTTTCCCCCTCCCCCTTATCTGTGGTTTCAGTTACTTGTGGTCAACCCCGGTTTGAAAATATTAAATGGAAAATTCTAGAAAGAAACAATTCATAGGTTTTCAATTGCATGCCATTCTGAGTAGTGTGATGAAATCTCATGCCATGCTGCCCGCGATGTGAAGCATCCCTTTGTCCAGTGTATCCACACTGTGTACGCTACCTGCCCATCGGTATAGGATAAAAGTCAGGGCTTATAGGGTTTGGTACTGTCTGCGGTTTCATGCATCCACCGGGGCTCTTGGGACGGATTCCCTGCAGATAAGGTGGGACTACTGTACTTGGTTCTTGTTCTTGACAGAGGCTAAGGTTACAACAGTTGTTATCAAGAAGCATAACTGAGTGCTCAGATGTAGGGAAAAGACTCCAAGTGTTGTGGGATATAGGGATGATCTGTAAGAGTGGGGCTGGTCAGGGTGGGTGGGTGGGTGTCAGACTGGACCTGAGGAATGAGGAGGTTTTTCCTGGGGGGCAGAGGGAACCCAGAGCTGCCAGAGTGGAAGGCAGGGGCCAGGAGGGTAGAGGAGTAGGATTCCTGGACTGGGGGACCCATCCCAGTGTGAGAGTTTCTGAAACACTGCTTGCTGGTAATAGTCATTTCCTTTGGGTGAAAATGAAAATGTGTTTTCCTTCTTTGCCCAAATCAGTGAACTATTAGATTCTAAGATTCAGAGTGAAACTGGTGGTGTCTTTTTTGGCAT